ATTTTAAAAAATAATCCAAAATTAAGCACACTTATAACAAAAAAATGTTGCTTAATTTCAGAACTATACGGTAATAACAAATAAATAATAAAATAAATTTTTAGACAAAAAAGTTGTTTATAATTTTGTTTATAATTAAATAAAAAGTCTTTTAAATTAATTTAGTCAGATAATATATTTAAAAAAAAGTGTAAATCTTATTTTATTTGAAAAATAAAAAAGGTAATATATTTTAATAAATATAAATCAAATGATTTTTTTATAAATATTACAAAAGAAAATAAATATAACAATTTATATTAAATAATGCAAAAATTAGAAATAAAATTATCTTATTTAAATAAAGTAAAGAAAAAAGTATTATTAATAACTAAATATAATAAGAAATATACAATTTTTAAATATTTAAAAATTTTGGATAAAAAATAAGAAAAGTAAAATAAAAGCTAGTAAAATAATTATAGAAATAGTTTATATTGAATATATATCATTTAGAGCAAAAGTTATTTAATATTGAGTAAATTATTAGCTTTAATATAATCATTTCTAATAAGTTAATAAGAAAAATATAAAAAACAATTCAGTTTATACTGTAAATAATAAATATATTACAGTAAAGTATTATATGTTTATTTAATTTTAATAATATAATAATTTTATTAAAATTTAAAAAGAAAAATTGCTTATTAATATAAGAATAATAAAAAAAAATTATTAGTATAAAAATTATAATAATATTGGTTATATATATTTAGCTTTTTTTTAATCATAAAAATGAGATAAAAAATATTATTTAATTATAAATTATGAATTAAATAACATAAAATAACTTTCGATCTAATGATTACATTTTAATGGAAATATGATCATTAGAACCGTCTCATTGAGTGCTTTCCAACGAATATAAACACAAGATTATTGGACCAATAGAAGCAAAAATAATTCGAAAAGAGTGATTGCTATTATAATTCTGCAAATTACTACTAAAGAAAACCGTAATTTCTTAAGCCCGCAACCCGACGATCAAAATGTCAGAAACTTCAGAAATGATGGTAACGTTGTTAACTAAGTTAATATAGTTAATTAAGTTTAATTGGTTTCTTATATTTATTTAATTAAATTAGTTAATATAGTTAACTAAGTTAATGAAATTTATAATGTTTCTTTAGTTTTAATAGTTTTACTTTATCTTAAATTAGTAATAGAAGTAGATTAAATATTTTGTAAAATAGAATAGGAAATTGTTGTAGTGAAGAGACAGTGAGATTTAAGTTCAGTTTAGTTTTAATCAAAGATAATTAGAGAATTTATTGTAAAATTTATAAATTGATAAATCGCTAACAAGAGCTTATTTAGTTTATTAAATTGTATTGATCCACTTATATTTTATTAATAAACCAAACTTTATCCCTATAATATTGATCTGTTAAACTCGTGACCTAAACCCAATCCATCATTATTGCTTTCCCATCATATTTGAAATATTCATATATATTTTCAATTTATATTTATATATCCTCAATATTCTCTGTACTTATAAATTGATATAGTGTTAACTTAATAGTTTTATTAACATGAACAAGTTCTTAAAGTTATTAAGTTAAATCATTATTCTTTAGATACCTATAACCTTGCTATATGTGTTAAAGCTTATTTTTCAGTCAGTAGACTTCGTAATTGACTCGTAAAATAATATTTAACTTTATTAAAGAATATTATAATGGTTATGAGTATCCTGATATTAATAAATTTCAAAAATTATTTTTAAATGAAATTTTAATTATAAAAATATATGATAATATATGAATATGAAAATAATAAACAGATTTTACCAATCTAATCATAAAATAATTTTATAACATATGATATTTTAATGATGAAATGAAAAATGTAAGTAAAATCAAAAGAACTGTTATTATATAAAAAAGGAATTAGAAATTCAATTATAGTTAGTGAAATTTTATCAAATAAATGATTTTATTTAAATTAAATTAAATATTTAACAAATTTAAGAAAATCTATTTAAATACACATTTATCTTTAAATTATGAAAGATAGAATATTTATTAAATAAAATTCATAATAAAGCTATTCCAATTTTTGAGATACTCTTTGCAATTTATTATATCTTTATGTTTAGATTCTGTTAATATTAATTACAATTATAATAAGAAAGTTTGCTCAAAAAGCATGGTGTTAAATGCAGCCAATTATAAAGTCATGTGATAATTACGTGAAATATTATTAAAGATCTTATTTTCTTGAATAGTTATCATCTCATACAATTCATTTTGTTTTTTATCAAGAATTTTCAAACCATTTTCCAATTCTTGACAATAGTAGAAAGGTACTGGAAATATAGATACAAAGTATCAGTATTTATTCAATAACAGTACTGATCGTAATGTATCTCACCTTGTGTCTCTTGTGTTGTCTTTAAGCAACCGTATTTTGAGAATTTCCAAAAAGCGCTCGCATTTTTTGTTTCTCAATTATATTTTTGTATAAGAGCGAGTTGAAATATTTGTGTATATTAAATCGGAAGTGGCTTGTTATGAAAAGAGACAACAAAAAAAGATGAATTACGAATTTATGAAATGTGGCAATAATTGTCATCGCTCTTACATAATCTTTTTTAGTCTCTCATAAAGGAACTAGACATCTTCAAAAATGATAAAATCATTACTTTTTCAAAACAACTCGTGTTCTACCAAATGAATTTTATTAAAAAATTCCTTTTGGTCTTAAGCCATTTTTTCCTAAGGTTATTTTCGTTACTTATTTCAATGTGAGCCTTCTTTTCAATATTGTATATTTTTTTATTTTTTATATTAACTGAACTGAAGACTCAAAGTTATAGTGTGAGATAGATAAGAGAATGGTTAAAGTTGATTTGTGGTCGAAGGATCCATACGTTAAAGGATTATATGTATGGATATATCAATTTCTGTATGTATAATTGTTCAAAGTATAGAAAAAAAAAGACCTCTGCTTATACATTTGATCCTTATTTTGTCAAATAAAGGAATCATCTAGATTTGCAATAATAGATTAGCTGCTTTTCCGCATAATCTGTAAAATAAAAATTGGAGGTAAATGAAGACAGTCGCAAAATACAAAAAATTGTAAATTGTTCTTCTTATTATAAATGTTCTTGAATAGAATTCAGAAAGCAGATCTCTAATTCTTCACAACGATAAATCTTTCTTCCAAAATTCTACCAAGAGACCTTCCAAACAATGTTGCAAAAAAACATTGGAGAAATTATTAGCTCGACAGAGGAAGATTTTTTATTCATTCCTCGTTATCAATTTTTCTACAAAAACATTAATATTTACTGTACTTCACACTCAGTAAAGTCCCGTGATATTTAATCAGGGTTTTCAAGAGACTATTTTATTACTCACATGATGCATTCCCCTATTACTCTTAAACTTCTTTAAAGCTTTCTCATTCTTTTACTTAGAAAAATATTTTCGATTTCAAAAAAAAACACTTAACAAAATGTTTAGGCACGCGCTATTTGCACGAAGAAATTTATCTTCAAAAACAATAGTTTATGGTGTTTAGTAAATTTTAAGGAATATTGAATAACTTTTAGTTTCTATAGAAAAACTCGCTAATGGAAAAGGACGAGATTTTATTATTATGTGAGTTGGGAGCGATGTACGCAATTTGGAAAGTTAACTTTTATACGATCAATACTGCAATCAATCCAACGAGGTAAGATTAATTAACGATCATTACTTTTAATATCTCATTCAAATCTAGAAACTCGACAAGCTCGTTGATGACGTAAATTATATAAAAGGATATCTTCAAATTAATACAAATCTCGGTAGTCAGCAAACCAAGAATTGATTTTAAAATAATCTTTTTTAATAATTCTTAATTCCTTATATTCAAAGGACATGAAAACCGTAAATATAACAAACGGTTGCAATTTTTTATTCATGTAAAACTTAAATAAAAATTTATTTTCTTTATTGCAAAATAATAATAAAAAAGCTTTAATTTTCTAACTTCTTTTATATTTTACGTGTATTCATTATATTTTTCGTAAAGTGAAAGAAGGCTTAATATAAATGATCGCAATAAAAAGAATAAAAAGATATTATTCACCATCTTTGACATATCATACCACAGTCACTTGCTACGACTTCACATGGATGTAAATTATACAGTCAAAGATTTTTAAAAATCTTGTATGTTGCGAACAATAAGAATTAGAATATCTAATGATTCAAAGTTTTCGTATCACAAAAAAAAAATGGTCATTTTTTTCTGGGTATGCTGGGTTGTTGTTTTCAGGATATAATAGTAGATGATTGGCATTGAATTTCGCTGGCAAAGAAGGATTAAATCATATGGCACAGTAATCACAATTTATACACGCTTATTGTTAAAATGATTATGCATAATTACACAAAGAATTTAAAATGACGCAGCAAGATCTGCACGAATTAAATTAAATAAATTAATAATCATCCAAAAATAGTAATTGCCTGAATGATCTATTTATAAATCTATTTATTATTTAATGATCGCGAAATATAAAAATGTTATTTTCCCAAAATTACCATTTTGTTAATCTCAATTTTCTCTTTTTGCAAGACACACTGTGATAATTTCGTGTGTTCTTCCGGTTGTTTGATTTTATAGCAATAATATACTTTTAGTCAAGGGACATACTTATATATATATATATATATATATATATGGCGTCTGATTCCACGGCTACTTTATTTTCACACTCTAATTCAATCGATTTCTCAAATATCAAACCTTTGTCATCTTCCACGTCCATTAACGAAGAATATACTCAGGTTACGCACGATGAAATTCTCTCATTATTAAATTTACGCAAACAGTCCGCAAATCAACAACTAGCCGAAGAATTTTTTAATAAAGGCCTTGCTTATTTATTATCATTACATTATGAAAATCCCGTTGAATGTCATTTTTTCTGTAATAATGAGTTAAGCGATATCTCCACGGAAATGTTACATCTTTTTAGTCTCCAAGATTCTGATAAAACTTTTGAGGAGTTCAAAATGATCTTGAAAGGAAAGTTGGTGAAATGTTTTGAATGTGTCAAGGTTTATCACAAAAACAAGAGAGAGTTATTTGAGAGGTAAGTAGAAATTGTGATGAGACCAGTTTTAATTAAACGGAGATATAGCTCATTTGTTGGTTTGTATAATTTGGAATACCTACCATTTCTATGATTTATATATTTTTTTAGATATAAGATGCAATATAACAATGATGAAGGTGTAGATGTGATGTTTAGTTTAATCAAATCATGGGATGAGCAACGCGTAGAAGGATCATTTTATTACTTAAGATATCTATTAGGCCTCAAAAAAGAAACATGTGATGATTTTGTTGTCTTAATCGAAATATTTTTCGACATATCTTTACTTCAAAATCATAAGATCAACGAAATGTTTTCCAAGGTGATGTCAATACCATCGCCTAGCATTACTCAGATATTATCAGAAGAATTTCCTCCAAGTTTATTCCTAGCTTCCGTTCATGAAAATGAGGATGTTAGAAAAGTTGCCTGGAATTGTATGCAAATTACTTGGAAAGGGTCCGATTTAGAATCAAATTGGAAAAATTGTCACAAAAACGAACACTATCAACTATTCAAAGAATTATTAAAATATTATCTTCATAATGATTGGGGAGAAGCACATTTTGATTACCCTATTACAAAAAAGGAAGCGCTTTTTTTGGCTGGAATTACAAAGATCCTCTGTATATTGGATTCCGAAAAACTTCATAATTTAATATATGAGAATAATGAATTCGATATTCCCAGATTATTAGCTGTGAAATTTAAATATAATAAAAGCTTAAGCACTTTCATAGAAATTATAAGATTTTTACGTGCACTTTTATGTAAATTAAAGGATAGCTTTTGGTTTAATTCGACGGAATTTTCTCATTTTGACATTTTGCGTAGCATAATGAATAATAATGTCTTTTGTAATGTAATGGAATCTACAAAATCGGAAACAACAAAGAAAGCTACGTTCGATTTGCTTCCAACGTTTATAGATTCTTTACGAGATTATAATGAAAACGAATTTTATATTTGTATTAGTATCATTTTGAAGAAATTACTCTGTTCATTTCAGAAAAGTAATAAGAACGTCGAATTCTCTTTGATGTCTTTGAAGATGGCTTTGAAGATTATAAAAGATTTTGATTATTCGATTCATCCTAAATTATATAAGAAGTTTCAGAAGGCCATTGATGATAGATTAGGAATATTTCATAAAAATCTTCCAGGAACAGAACGTGAAAAGATCATTAATGAAATTTTAAAATATGTTGTTGAAGACCAAAGTGATGACCAAATCAATGAATCAATAGATGGATCTATAGCAAATCCAATAGTAATAGAATCCGTACCTATAAAGAGGCCTTTGGAAACATCATCATCTACAACGTCATCTGATTCATCAACGACTAATGATTCTCCTTCCACCCCAAAAAACTCTACCGTATTAACAACTACTAAAGAACAAAATTCACAAACTGTGGAAAAAATTCCATTAAAGACAATGCCAAGGAAGCCCATTTCTTGGAATCCTCCAACTAATGGTCAAGATGTTCAAAAGGGAAAAAGCACTTTGAGCAAATTGCGCGCATCATTTATTAAAGAACAAAAAGAAAAATTTGAGATAGAACAGAAAGCTAAAGAGGAACGTGAAAAGTATGCAAAAATTGATGAGGATCGTCGCAAAGCTCAAAACTTATCAAAAATTAGTAAATCAAATACCTCTCGAGCAATTTCTTTGTCAAGATCAACATCAGGCAATGGAAGCTCGGATAGCGTTAATTCTAGAGAGGCAAAAAGATTAAAGTCGGATAATGATGAAAGCTTAAATCATTCCAAACCAAAATTGCGAAAATTTAATCCACCTCCAAAGCAAAGACAAACAAAGATGCTTGATTTGAGTGAAGTAATTAAACATCAATCATTATATCAACAACGGGCAGTTGCTAACAAGCGTAGAAAGGATAACCTAGAAAAAAGATTGAAACCAAATCTAAATAATCTCTACAAGCAAGTATTATCTTGGGGTTTAGAATCAAAAGGAGAACTTCCGCCAAGTACCTCAAAAGACCAGTACCTTCAAATTCAAAATACTTTCGAAAGTGTTGAACAATACATCAAAATTTTCGAGCCGTTGTTGATATTGGAATGCTGGCAGAGTTTCGTACAATCGAAAGAAGATTTAGATATGGAAAATGACAAGTATGATGCATTGTTGATTGAAAGTATAGCTTCCATTGATGATTTCCAAGAACTATCATGTAAAATTATCCCAGATAAAATGAAAAATATAGCGGAAGGTGATTTGATAATTGTCAAACAAAACATTTCAAAAGATCAGGATAAAGGCACATCTGTGACTTCTAAAATGTTCTTGGCTATTGTGAAAAGTATCATGAATCATGAACGCGTAACATTATTTTGTTATTTACAAAATAATGAGGCGAATATCAGAAGTGAACTGAGGCCTGGAACAAATTTGATTGTATATCGAATTATGAGTTTGACACCTCCTAAAAGGGAGTATGCTGCTTTAGTTGGGTTACCATATTTCCAGTACAAAGATATGATCTTAAATCCCAAAGGACAAATTTCTAGTTCAGTTCCTGAAAATGAATTAGTTGAATACATGACAAATTATCGCATTAATCAATCTCAAGCGGAGGCGGTTCACAAGGTCATACAACAAAAAAATGGCTTCTCGCTGATACAAGGTCCTCCAGGAACTGGCAAGACATCAACAATTTTGGGAATCATAAGCGCCCTTCGAAATGTATCGGATAAACGTCATAAAATTTTAGCATGCGCGCCTAGTAATGCGGCAGTAGATGAGTTGGAAAGGAGGCTTAGACAAGGAATTTACAATTCTGACGGTAAAATCGTTCACCTGAATGTCGTCAGATTTGGTAAATTAGATAATTCAGAAAAAGATCCTAATTCACCCGAAGGTGAACAAAAATTGAAATTGGAGCGATATGAGAAAAAACTCAGGGGATTACATAAAAAACGTCATGAGACACGAAATGGGTGGGATCTAAGTAAGCTAGATGCCGAAATTGACCAAACTAATGCTGAAATAGGGAAAATACATGAAACCTTGAGAAATCTGAAAGCGGAACAGCAAAACCTTAATCACTTGTCAAAGCGTGGAAATTTGAGCAATGCTGATTTGATTGAAGCAGATGTTGTCTGCGCGACTTTGGCGGGGAGCGGGCACGAGACATTTGCAAATATTGGCATACAATTTTCGACGGTTATAGTTGATGAAGCGGCCCAGGCCATAGAGTTAAACACACTAATACCTCTCAAATATAACGCGAATAGGATTATCTTGGTTGGAGATCCAAACCAGTTGCCTCCAACGGTACTATCCCAAATTGCTACAACTTATTTATATGAACAAAGCTTATTTGTTCGTTTTCAAAGATGTTTTCCGGAGGCCATTCATTTGCTAAATACGCAATATCGAATGCATCCGGAAATCAGCAGGTTTCCAAGTCGCTTATTTTATAATAATGCGTTATTGGATGCACCTGAATTAGGAAAAAAGAAGCGTCAAATATGGCATAATTCGAATATCTTTGGGCCGTATAGATTCTTTGATGTCGAAGGTAGAATGAATCGAGATAAGAAGAAATCGTCATATAATACTGATGAGGCTTGTATAGCCGTTAAATTATTCTTAACTTTGGTCAACAAGTTCGAAACGGTCGATGTAAATATTACTTGGAAAATTTGAGATTAATTATTTCGCTCAAGGACATAATATCTTATTAAATTACTATATGCATTTGTAGTTCAAAGATAGGGTCGGTATTGTTACCCCTTACAAGCGGCAGTTAATTGAGCTCAGGACAAAGTTTAGGCAACTAGTTCCCGAGTCGTACTATAATAGAATAGAATTCAACACCGTGGTAAGTAGGATGTTATTAAAATAGCCCGTTTTTAGTAAAAAATTTTAATGATCCATTGATTTTATGTGGAATGATAATACAGGATGGGTTTCAAGGGCGAGAGAAAGATATAATAATCTTTTCTTGTGTTCGAGTCGGCGAAGATAAGGGGATTGGATTCCTTCAAGATATTCGTCGTATGAACGTAGCTCTTACCAGAGCCAAAAGTTCCTTATTTATCCTTGGTAACAAAGCTGCATTAGAGAGTAATTCTCAATGGAACGAGTTAATTCAAGATGCAATTCAACGAGGATTATATACTGACGTAAGTGTTAAAGAGATTGGACTTGATTTGCATCATCATCATAATTATTATTATTAGTTAAAAACTCTTTTTATTAATACGCTTAGTTGGGGGATGCTTCTTTCTTTTTTTCGGATATAACATTTGAGAGAAACTTTAGCAAGAAAATTAAATAAGAATATTTCATCACGCATATTAATTTTTATTAAATGGAAATTGAGTGAATGCGAGTGTTTTTTTTTAAAAAAAAATCTTAATATAATAGTAAATAAAATGATAGTATACGAATTATTAAAGGTTAATTTAATTTACATTCATAGCTAAAATATAATGATAAGAATCGGATAGAAAGACAATAAGCAAAGTGTTAGAAATTCCTTTGAATATTTAGTATATATTACAAGAATCAGATTCATATATAATAAGTAATTTATAATTTAATATCAAAATTATTTAAAAAAAATATATATCTTATAGCTAAAGTAAATATAAATCCTATTTATTATATCTTTAGTAAAAATAATTATCATAAAATTGCAAAATTGCAAGCATTCTTGTTAGGAAAATTGATACAAGCGAGATATTTGCATAAAATAATAAAAATTAAATAATCTTTGGCATTAGACCTAATATATAATTCGATCACTATCTAAATAGTTATTTTTCGTTTTTTTTTCCGGAATATGTTTAATTATTGTTAAAAGAAAGAATAATATATTTAAAACCAATCCTATTCAATTTCTTAATATTTCGGCATTTTAAGTCACATTTTAAGAAAAAACCAAATTTTTTTTTTCGGGATAATAAATGAAATAAACCTAATATAAAAGGTTAAAATTAAATAGATTATTCTTTGGTACTCCCCGATTTTCGATTTTTATTTTTATTGTAAAGATGAGTTACCTATTATAGTAAATATAGTAAAATCATGGATGATCATTTCAAAAAAAAAAATATAAATATATACAGTGATTTACTATCTATTAGATGTTGTCTGTTGACTGTTGAAGCTTTAATTATACCTATCTATTATGGCTGCTAACCAACTAAAAGAACTTGCTGAGAGATCCCGTAAAGTTGCAAATGCTATTATAAAACAAGATATACCACCAATTGAACGAAACTTGGAACAAATTGAAAAACAGTCGCGTAAACTTGCTGATAAAGTTATAAAACCTGGAGAGGAGCCTGAAAGAAAAGCGTAGTTATTAATTTGATTTGATTAAGCAATTATTTATCATTGAGTATCTTAAAAATTATACATGCTGTTTCTTTATTGTGATATTAATTGAAAATAATGGCTGTTCCCGTCCTTCTGAATCATATATGCTGATGTGACTTTAGACCTTATTTCTTAGCAAATATTGGAATTGATGGAGACAGATTATCACAAGAAGTTAAAAGTATAAACGTATTGGGTGCTTTCGAACCACGGGAAATTTTGCCAGATACGGATGTTGAGGTATTTTTAAATTTTTTTTGTTTCTACAATTTATTATTATATTTTTTATCTTTATATTATATCCTAAATTCGATAATATTTAGAAATTTATTGAACATAAACATCAACAAACGATCTCTAGTATTATTAAAGATGGCCATATACAGGTTGAAAATTTTTTTAATCGAATCGAAAACATTTGGTTTATAGTAAGAATTTTATGACAATGGTTTAATTATAAATTACCAATATTCAGACCGTAGACGATTATAACTCCTATTTTGATCGATGCCTTGTTCACGATTGGGATAGGACCAAAAGAAGGGTGTTTGAAGAACTCGGTCAGCATATTCCGACTAGTACGTCTAGTGATTCCGATTTATTTTCTACACCAGGAAGTAGTCGTTCTAGATTTCAAACTCCATTAAGAGGAACAACTACTTCAAGCTTTATTGGATCATCGACTCCGGTTGGTTCCATATTTTATTTTATAGAATTTCTTGCATTAGTTTAATATCACATTCACCTTTTCTGTTTTTAGAGGTCATCTTACGTAACTGCGGGAGAAAGAAAAGTAACATTTAGAAGTGAATCAACTTTACCATTAAATCAGAGACATCTGGTTTATTTTGATGTTGTATCTAAGTTGAACAATCATAGATTATCAAAATTAGAGTATGGTGTTATAAATGAATTTACAAATGCCGCAAAAAAAATTAATGTTGATTATGTGAGTGTCATTTATCAAGATATTAAAACCAAGCATGTCCTTTTTATTTAAATGTATTTTTGCTTATAATCTCTTTAGGTGAAGAAATTAGTACAATGTTGGCAGAGTCTTATATCCATTATTGGCGAGAACAATGTTATAGAAGGGCGTTTTACGCGCAATCCTTTGAAAGAGCATCATTATGCTAGAGCATATCTGGCACCTGTTTCAAGTCCGGAAAATAAAGCGCTTTACAAGGCTTTATTAAACGGAGCCAAACGTTATTTGGAAGAATCGTATCCTTTTTTATGGCATTTTTACAATTCTACAAACATGAATTGATAATATTTATTTCTATTCTTAAACCTTTTGGTTAATAAAAGATATCGTAGTTATACATCAGATTATGTAAATTCGTTCCGTAATGAAGCGTTATTAGGTGGTCAGCCTTCAGTTAGTAATACGGCACGTGCTATTCTACGTGCTATCCACAGGCCTAATGGAGGAATTCCGATAAATAACTTACAGGTAATCTATTTAAAAAATAATCTTTCAACTTCTTTTCATTCATATAATAATTTCGTTATGTATTTTTTGTATTTAAAAGATGGCAGAAAATATTCCGATATGGGGTCATATTTTTATTCTGCTTCGTCAAGGTCACTACCAGGATGCTTTACAAGTTGCACAGAGTTATAAGAATATCTTCTCAAAACAAGACCAAACATTTATCACATATTTTACGAAATTTATAACCAATAATAATAGGTATCTTACACAAATGATCTCAACAAGTTTGAATTTATGATTGGATAATTAATTTTATAAGATGCTCCATTTTCATGATATCAGTCTTCCTTTAGATGACCGACAAAAATTGGTGACAGAAATTAAACAATGGCCGCCTCTTCCTCAGTTATATGACCCTTATAAATGCTTATTATATCAAATAGTTGCTCAGATGGAAGAATTACCCCAAAAGCCACAAACAGGAAACATCAGTCCAACATTTGAAGATTTTATGTGGCAACATGTAATTATTATATTATTTAAAGATTATTTAAGGGTTTCTTTTTTAAATCACGTGTATTAATCTGTTTACTTCAATCTTTTTTATTTATAGCTAATGTGTGTACGCGAAATAAATATTGAAAATGAACCGGTTTCGGGTATTCTTTCACTTGAAAGATTTCAAAAAAAGGTTCGGGACCTAGGTCCTGCTCATTTCAATCATAATGGCAAAGACCCTGTCCAATACTTCCGTGTTTTATTGTTAACTCTTCAGTTTGAAAGGGTAGATATTTCAAATTTTTTAGTTTTTTCCATTATATAAGAAATAGAGAATACAATATATATATATATCATTTATTTATTTTTTATATAGGCGATATTTTACCTGTTTCATGAGTATACCGAGGATGCTGTACATTTTGCTATAGCACTTGCGTATTACGGACTGCTTAGAGTACCAGATTCTGCAGAAGCAATGGCATTAAGTATATAATTCAAATCTGATCAAATTCGATAAAGAAACTAGTTTGATTTTTCCTTATTTACTTGTTCATTGTAATTGAGTTGGAACATCAAGAAGAGTTTTTCGATTTGGATCAACTTAATCTAATGAACAAAAGAATTGGATTATTGACTGACAATTTTTGGATTGCACCTTATCAATTTTATCAATAGTTATTGATGAAGAAGAATCCCGTCCAAAGCTTAATTTCAACACAATAATATATCAATATGTGCGTATGTTAGCCAATGATAACGCTCCCAACACAGCATTTCAATACCTTATTTTACTTTATCTGTATGGAAGACGCAATTCGGACAGCGGTCTACATCAGATTGAGATGTGTCATTATTATGTTAGACAACTTGTATATGACACCGAGGCTTTTGCAGAACTCGTTGGTGACGTTCAGAATAGGGAGGTTTGTGATTACATATTAATTATGAATGACTTTACATGATAATATCAATAAAAAATTAATTTATTATTTCAAATTAGGGTCAGATAAAAAAATATATGTCTTTAATGTATATTGATAATGAGAGAGAATTCAACGAGATCATAGTTGGTGCTCTTGCTCGACAGTGTGTTGAAGACGGAAAGTTCAAAGCAGCTCAAAGTCTTTATGAATTAACAGAGGTAAATTAAATGATATATGCTCCAAAATAGTCTGGGTAATGAAACTAATGTGCAGTTGTGAAAATTTTATTTTTTTTTATTTTTTTTTTGTAGAATTATGAAGAGATCATCATATTACTTAACAAGATGCTTGCAGAGTACATATGGGTTTCCGTCCGAGGTGTGACAATGCAGCCCGAAACAGCACAAGAATTTAATCCTCAGGAAATTAAAAAAGTATTACATGAATATAAAACAAATCAAATCACAATGAGTTTACCTGTTGACCGTATACAGACGTGTGAAAAACTACTCGGCCTGGTTGACTTTATAGAAATGTACAAAATGCAGAATTACGAGAATGCCCTGAATGTAATTCCCTTTGATAACTACAAGTTTGTCACGTTAAAGGTATATCTTATGCTTATATATATATTATTATTTTTAATTAGATTATACAAAGTATCGACATCTTTTCCTTTGAAAAAGACGTCACCATAATTAAACAAAAGGCTGCTGCAATAGAAATGTTCGATGATCAATTGAAGAAATGTCTGGAAGAACTCTTGCTTATCACAATGCGCTGTTTGCATTCACGTTATCAACAATTAAAAGATCAAACATCGCGTTGGTCTCCGGGTCCTTCCAGTAAATATATGGATGTAAGTTTCTCCTCCTTTTTATAACATTTTTCATAAAAGTTCGAGTTAACTTATTTTTTTTATTATTATTATTCTAGGATACGAATATCCTTCGTGAAAAGGCTAATAATTTGGTTACATTCGCAGGATATATAA